GAACTCTCTGCCTACCCCTATGTCTTCGAGGTTTTTACCTACTTTCTCTTCCAATAGATTTAGTGTTTCTGGTTTAATATTGAGATCTGTGAAGCCCCGTAAGATCTTGTAATCATAGAGGAGGCTGGAGTGACCCAGTTCACAGGCACAGCGCTTAAAGAAATGCAGGACATGCGTACCTGTAACTATTAAGCTAACCAGGGAGCAGCAAACTTTCTTTGAAGGGCAGCTAGCAAATGCTCTTGGCTTTATAACCACATGGTCCAGTTCACAACTACTCAGCTTAGCCATGGTGTGGAAGCAGCCACAGACAATACGTAAACCAGTAGGCGTGACTGCTCCAGGAGACATTTATTATGTGCGTTAGGTACGTACACCACATGCTATGCTTTATATGCACTATCAAATTTGATTTCTAGGGGCTGGGGATTTAGCTCAGCGGCACAGTGCCTGCCTGGCAAGCGCAAGGTCGTGAGTTCAATTCCCGGTACCGGAGGAAAAAAAAAAAACAAATTTGATTTCTACTAAGTTTCCCAAGTCTTGAAATATTCATCTTCTTTTGATTTTTTTTTCAACTGTTTAGAAAGATACAAACCATCCTTAGTTTGTGCGCCAGACCCAAAAAGACCAGAGAACAGACTCCACCCACGGGCCGTAGTTCGCTGACCCCGGGTTAAGCTAACAGCGGTGCCGCCTGAATGGTCCACTGAGCTGAGGCGCTGGGAGATGCCAAGCTGGAGCAGAGAACACAGTCTGCCCTTCATTAGGGGAACAAAGCTTAGAGTGTGCGTTGCCCGCGGAGTTTCAGATCATTACATAATAACAACTCTTTTATCATTCACTCTGTATCATTTTAAAGTTATATATTGCAGTTCATTAAAGTTACATGAAAGAAAGCACTGGAAACAGGACAGGGTAAAAATATTAACCAGTTACTTCTCAGTTTGTATTTGTTCTGTGAATGTCAGGAAACTCGCCTTTTACTACCTTTTGCTTGAAAAATCTCAGCAGAAGTCCTCCCTTTGGGGAACTCTCTCCCCTTCTCCTCTTTTTCCATAACTATCTTCAGCTTTTCTTCAACTAGTTTTAGACATGGCCATGACAAAAGTGACCTTTATAAATGTGTGGCAGGTATCTGGAGACAGTGCTTATTATTGTTTTCTCATCAGTAGCCCTAGAATGGCAGATGGCCAGGCACAACATCGACAGAGCCATCACTAGGGAATTTGGCCACCAGAAAAGGGTCTGCTCGCGACCCCCTGGGTGAGAGTTTCGTTTCACGGACTTGCACTAAGCCTCCAAAGGCCATTTCTGTGGCCATTTCCTTTCTGGAACACAGGTCCAAGCAACCGCTGCGGACGTGGACACAGTGAGCTCCGTATTACCCCATTCGGGAAGCGCAGGCTCACGGCTGAGCCAGAGTCTGGGGACGGGACGCCCAAACCCAGCGTGCTCCCCACGTGGGAGCACCAACACCCCAGTGACATTGGAGCCTGTTTCACGGGCCGCAGGCAGCTTCACTGTTGTGACATGCGTTTCTGGAGGTGCTGCGTGGGCCTGGGAGGGAGGTGGCGTCAGTCCACACGTTGGGTTTGCCATCCAGTGGAAGCGCCAGAGTTACAGCACGGGGTGACAACGCTCATAAAACATCTCCACAGCCACAGAGGCCGTAAGCTAGGAAACGAGGCCCCTGCTGAGGTGTGAGGCGCTCCGTGCCCCTTCCTGTTGTTCCCGTAATTGCCTTCAGCTTCTTTTATGACTAGTCTGTAGACTCGAGTGTGAGGAACGAGTGACCTTACAGAAGTGTGGCAGACATCGAGAGACAGTGCCACATGCCGTGTCGCCGTGAAAACTTACAGTAGCCTGAAGTTGTCCGTATTCGTTCATCTCGTTAAATACGCGTCTGTCACTTTTACCGTGCATTTGTTCTGTGTTGGACAGGGGAGGGGTGGGGGAAGACATGTTGTCAGTTTCAGGATATGGGGTGTGAAACTTGGATTGTTATTTCAGAAAAACAACTTCTTTGGGGGTACACTCCTAAGATTTCAGGTAGAAAATAAAGCTTATCATGTAACAGCAAACCACACGTCTAACAAGATACCTCGCATGTGATTGAATTCCAGCGAAACGTTAACCTAATCCCTGGGTTTCGCAGTATCAGTGGTTTCCCTTTGAAGTCAAAAAATAGGCAAGCAGCTGTACGCAGCCCAGCCACGGCTACAAAGTCTAATTGTGCTGGTAATGAGGCTCCGGATGATAATGGACTGTGTTGAGCTTTCCCCTGAAATCCTTTAGCTAAAGAAGCCTGTAAATGGAATAGCCTAAACACAGTTAGTGTAGATTTGTTGGTACCTAAAAAAAAACCATTCCCTTCCTGGTATTTGATATTTTGAAAACAGCACCTGTGGTTGATTGCTTCCGGCTGGGGTGGAGCAGGAGGCCAGGGCGGTGGGATCAGATGGAGACAGAGGAGATGGTGAGGGCAGCGTGTAGGCTGCAGGCATTCTTGCCAGAGAACAGGGCGGTGGGTAGGGGTCCGAGGAGGAACGGGGTTACGGGAAACTAGGATTGGGTCACCAAGAACAAGCAGGGGAGGAGAAGGCACTTCCGAAAGGAAGGAGGAGTGGGGGTTGCGCTGACAACCTAGTCACCAGAGGCACATTACGATCCCAGTATCTAAAACTGGTAGGGCTGGAAGGCACATGTGTGCCTGGGACCTCTGAAAGGATTCCGAAGCAGGAAGCCTGGCCCTTACTAACTGACCTCTCTCACCTACGGCGACGGGAGCTCTCCACCTTGGCTGTGCTTCAGAAGCAAGCCAGAACTTTGATAACACTGGTATCCCAGACTCTGCTCCAGGCCAGAGAAATCGTAACGTCTAGGGCTAAGCTCGAACACGGCTCTCAGTGTTTGTATAACTCCTTGGGTAACGCTGGTCTGAAAGCAGGCTGGGAAATACGTGTTACACGCGGGGCTCCTTCACAGTAGTAGCTGTTCTTCTCTGGATATGTGCGAAGCGCTGGACTGGTCACCTGGTGTATTACACAGGAGGTAATCCATGAGGTGAGAAAATAATGCCGCTGAGTATAGCTCTGTTTGGTGACCCGGGCGTATGCCTTTAATCCCCGGCACCTTGTGAGACAGGCCCGGTCAGGAAGGACAAGTTGGGAAAGAAGTGTCCAGCGGAGGTTATGACCTGGCCCCTGGTGCTAGGGCACCCAGCAATCCTCACCTTAAACCCAGGGCCGCTCGGGGTCAGTATGGCAGACCGAGGTCATTCACTTCTATCTGCTTTATCCTGTTCCACTCTGGTTTTTAAAAAATGTTCACAGATATCTCAGAAAAGGACAAATAATTGAAGCTTAGAGATTGGATATGTGAGTGCTAATGTAGAAAAGAATTCTCATCAGATGATAAAATGTATAGGAAAGTAAGCAGTGTACTGAGATTTTATCTCTGCTTTAACTTAAATTCCATATTTATTTATTTAGAAGAGAAAAGCAGGGTGGAGTTGGTTGATTTTGCAACAGCTCATTGTAGCCTTGGGCCGTACCTAGCACATCCCAGGCTGGGATTCCTGCTGGGAAGGGCCTCAAAAGCCATCTGTGCGCAGCCGTGTCTACTTCTAGGATTTGTCTAGGGTGGGGTTGCTGATTAGGGACAGCTCATCTTAAATTCTTTTTTTTTTCTTTTTGAGACAGAGTCTCACTATGCAGTTCAGGCTGGCCTTGAGCTCACTTTGTAGCCCAGGCTGGTCTTGAACTCACAAGGATCCTCCTGCCTCAGCCTCCAGAATGCTGGGATTACAGGCGTGCGCCACCACGCCTGGCAACACTGCCATTTTAAACTGACTTCCTCAAAGCTTCTTTTTCCCAATCTAGCCCCTGACACATGTAAATGTGTAGGGAAGATATGCAAGGCTGCCCCTCTGCCTTTACAAACTTAACCTCATGCTTAAGACACTGAACAAGTAGTGCAGCTTTTTGAAAAATAAAAATGAAAAAAAAAAAAAAAAGAAAAGAGAAAGAAAAGTGCAAATATTCATCTTAGTGAGTTTCCATTTTTAAACCTTCAGTGCCCAAACACAGTTCTAACTGTTCTTACTTGGTTACTTTAGGTTCTTTTATTTATTTATTTATTTATTTATTTATTTATTTTTTGTCTTTTGAGACAGGGTCTCACTATGCAATTCAGGCTGGCCTTGAGCTCACTTTGTAGCCTAGGCTGGCCTCAAACTCACGGTGATCCTCCTGCCTCAGCCTCCCGAGTGCTGGGATTACAGGCGTGTACCACCATGCCCAGCGACTTTGCCTTCATTTAGCCAGTACCCACCCTAGCCACAATGATGTCTGCTTCAGTTAAAGAAATATTTGTGCTCCTTTCGACCCCAGTGTATACTGATTGTGATGTGCTGACTTACATAACCTCTGTCTCAGGCATTCGTCCACATTGCAGCTAATTCCTACCTTGTCCTGAATCTCTCCTAGCCATTACTTAATTTTATGTTACAAAGTTTAACCCAAGACTTCAAAAAATTACCCCATCATTTTCTAACTGTATGAATAACTGCATTTCTTATGTTAGAACTGAGCTATATGAGAAAGGCGAGACTTTCAGAGGTGGAAGCACACATACTGCTAGAGACTTAAAAATAATACCTTTGATTTAATAATATCTTTTAAACAAATAACACTGTTCATTTCATTTCACATTTTCAGAGAAGATCACCGGTAACTTTGTAGAAACTGATTTCTCAGGAGGTAACTAATTCTTCTCCTGGTAACTCAGGAGATTAAAATGGAAACGAAGCATCGCTGCTCCGTAGATCCTCCAGGCAGCCTGGGTTTGGGACCAAAGTTGCCCACTCTGGAATCTGAACAAACTATTGTTTTACATACTCCATTTTCTGTTTTCCTGAGGGTTTGCTACTAAAGCATCAATCCTTCAAAATTTTAAGACTTTTTGATGATATTCCCTTAAAGCACATTGTACATTTGAGTAGGTGCTTTGCAGATCTGGATGCAGTACACCGGATCGGATGTTCCTGTCCTCCGTGGCTCAGAACCACAAGCACCCACCTTATTGATGGTGCGGCTTGCAGTGCAGTGATGTTACCGGACCAGGCGCTGTCTGTCCCTCCTCTAAGCATCTCTGTGCCTGTTCTTCGGTTCCGTGCCGCCTCTTGCTGTCACTTTCCTAGGCTCAGTGTCCACGCTGATAGCGACTTCCCTTCTGTTTTTCCCATTTGCACCAAGTATCTGAAGTGAGGTCTGAATAGATTGTGAATGACAGCCCACGGGAGTCTCCGGCGTGCTCGGGACACTCATACAGGGCCTTTGTCACATCAGCACTAGGTCTTCGAGGTCAGGGACAAGGACCCAAAGAGGTGAGGCGTTCCAGTATGAAAGTTGCCTGAAGAACTGGGAGAAAGGCAAAACTCGTGGCCTGGTCCGAGTTCTGCCAGTTTTGTGGCTCCTTTGTTTGCGGGAGAGTCACCTCTTTCTCTTTAGAAGAATCCACCTAAGCAAGATTTTTCTGCTGTCAACCTAAGTCAGGCCTTTAATTCTGTAAGCAGGAAGTGTGTAGATGAGTCATTTCCTTTTCACAAAGGACCACAGGTAAGACAGTGATTAACGTGAGCCGCCGTCACACCTCCAGAGTAGATAGTACAGGCAAAGCAAGGCTGAGTCAACACCCGTCACGTCTGTCTTCTTCACAGCAATGCAGATACACAAACAAGACGTACAAGCCAAGTTCTCTGGTGGCTCAGCCGTGCGATCTGGTTATAACTCTACGCCTCAACACTCTTCAGTGTTGGTCTTAAGTTTTAACAAAAGCGCTTGTTCAACCATTACTTTACAACAGCGGGCTGAGGACTAGTCGTGTGTTCTTAGCACCGGAAATAAAATATGGTCTGCAATTTCCAACAGAGTAGGCATAGTCTTTACAAGGAATATGTACCCAGTGCATGTTGCATTTAAAGAACAACTGAGACTTTAACTGATCATTATTTCAGGTTATCTATGTATGCAGCCAAATAAGAAAATAATCCTTTGTTTAAAAAATAAAAGGAATTTAAAGCTTGGCCTGGTGGCACATGCCTGTAATCTCAGCACTCAGGAGACTGAGGCAGGAAGGATTCCTGAAAGTTAAAGGCCTACCTGGGCTACATAGGCCAGCCTGAACTGCACAGCAAGACACTGCCTCAAAAAAAAAAAAGAAAATTTTTTTTAACCTCCTAGAATGAGTGTACTTGTAAGCTTTCCTTCTGCTAAAGTCACTTTTTGGAGATGTCTAGTTGAAACTCGCACTGCCATAGGTAGGAAAGAAGTTAGACCCACTGTCAGGCTTGGGGACGGAGTTCCTGCATCACCCATGGGCCCAGGGCTCCTCTCGGCCTCCCCGGAAGGACTTCGATGTTTTCTTTCCTTGTGACAAAAGTCATTGAACAATAGGCCAGGATGTTGTTAGGATACAATCTAGAGAGAAAACATCACTCCTTTGGGAAATTGCTTTTGGAAGATATTTAAGTACTTTTGAGAAAGTAAAGCTATACCTTTCAGAGGCTGAATCTAATTTTCCCAGAAATACAGTAATAGAAACCAACCAAGTTTAGGCTAGCAGTTGAATGAGTGTAACAAATTCAAGTGGAACACTGTGCTTCTTTCAAGCTGGATCTAGCATAGATGTGACTGCTTCCTGCGCTGTACAAACTCTCTTCGAATTGCTATATTGGATGCAGGTATAACTGATTAGAGCTCAAAACACTAACTAAGTTGTTTTAAAATCCAAAAATCTGTCCTCTGAAAACATACTAGACCTCTGGAAACTCATTTCCACTCAGAGTTCCACATAATTCAATAACAGTTTTTCCTGGCTTCGATTACTCTAATCTAGAGGGCCCTCTGTAAGTTGATTTATGATTTTATCATCAGCAAAGCAAGTTCTGGTATATTTCTCCTTTCTCTTTTTTTTTTTTTTTTTTTTTTTTTTTTTTTGAGACAGGATCTCGCTATGCAGTTCAGGCTGACCTTGAGCTCACTTTGTAGCTCAGGCTGTTCTTGAACTTGCAACGATCCTCCTGCCTCAGCCTCCTGAGTGCTGGGATTACAGGCATGCACCACCATGCCCAGCCTTATTTCTCCTTTCTAAAATGACTCACAGACTGAAAATGTGAGTGTAGGCAATTCTTATGGTCTGTCTTTATCCCCTTCAACTCTCACTATCCAGCTCAGGCTGGCCTTGAACTCACTGTGTAGCTCAGGCTGGCCTTAGATTCATGGTGATCCTCCTGCCTCAGACTACAGGCACGCGCCACCGTGTCTGGCTTATGGTCTGTTTCTATCTTCTCCTTAAGACTGATTGGGCCTGGTATTATTGAAGCAAAACTCAGGAATTCAGGCTGATGGGGACCATTCCATTTTCCTTTTCCCCAGGCTGCCTGGACCCCACATTACAATCAGTCCACTCACATGGCTTCATCATCAGTCACATCAACCAGATTTCCCTCTGGCACGGACTCGCAGGACTGTCTGTCCATTGGCTCCACCCACGCAGGAGACAGGGCATGTTTGCTAGGTTCCATGGGACGTATGTAGAAAAGCTGAATTTTAGAGGGAGGAGGGCCGTCCACCACGAGCAACTGGGGCTTCTCCCGGCCCAGGCTCTGAGCCTTGCTTTAAGGCTAAAGTAAAGATCCGAAGGCAAGGAGTTCCACGGTATCAGTGCTTCTCTTTTGTCTCCTAGGAACCAAGGAGGTTGTTGTACATGTGGATGACGACGGGGTCATTTCATTGAACTTCGAATGTGATCAGATGACTCCAAATTCAGAGTTCACCTGGTCCAAAGACTACGTGCGCACTGAGGACTCCCCGCGGCTGGAAGTGGAAAGCAAAGGCAACAAGTAAGGTGTTCGGGCCGCAGGGGCGGGCTTCCTGCCGCTGCAGGGACAGGAAGTGAGCTCACTGCTTTCTACTTACGTCACCAGGGATCAGAGGGTGAAGTCACACACACGTTATGTCTAGCATTGGAAAAAGCCATAAACAATACAAGCCTTAAAAGTAATAATCCTTACAAAATACCTTCCAGAGTTTTTGAAGTAAAACTCTTTTGGTCAAAGAAAAGAAACTCAAATGATAGAATCTTTTCCCCTAGTTTTTTGCACTTAACATTTAAACATTTGGTTGATCTTAGACACTGACTAGTGTGATAAAGCTCTCCAAAGCTGGGAAGCACAGCGAGGAGGACCACTGACCCGTTCGCATATTCATTCCACACGGGAAGTGCCAGGCAGGGCGCAGGGCGCTGGGGACACAACAGGAAACAGATCCGGTCTCTGAAGACACTGAGGTGATACAGGGAGACAGTGCCAGAGCCGTGTGAGAAATTCCGAGAAGGGAAGCGCAGGCAGGGACCCGGGAGAAGCACCCAGGCTTACCGCGGCACGTTCTGGTCTGCGGGAAAAAAATTTAGGCTTCTCAGAGCAGGCTAACCTGCAAAATACCTTTATGCACAATTACAGCAGTCAGAAATGTAGGAGCCAGGGAACAGGACAGTGGTGCCAGCACCACCCTGTCACCATCAGCCCCTGGAAGAGCACCACGACCTCCCTAGTGAAATGACTTATAACCTGAGGGTGAGCAGTGCACCACGTGCAGGGGCTACAGACAGGGGAGTCACAGCCCCAGAGACCCAGCACAGCCTTGCTTGAGAAAAATACTTCGTTCCAAAGGACAAAAATGACCTTCAAAGACCTTGGGACGGATGACTTGGGCATCTACTCTTGTGACGTAACAGATACGGATGGGATAGCGTCAAGCTACGTAATAGACGAGGATGGTAAGTTTAAAATCAGTTCATTCACAGACCGAAGTCGCCTTCGTTTCTCAGTCATTCCTGTGTGACTTTTGTTGTGGTAGTTCATGGTTTAATTGTTTTCTGTTTCTCCCTACAGAGCTGAAACGTTTACTAGCTCTCAGCCAGGAGCACAAGTTCCCAAGTAAGTGTCCACCAGACTCCCAGGCTTTGAGCAGTCTCGGTCACAGGCAACTTCTGCTGTGGATCAGACCGCAGCTTGGCGGGGTTAGGAGAGGAGGCCTTGAGAGCGTGCAGTTGATGGCTCGTCAGTAGCAGCAGGAACTCATTCTGGGAGCGATGCCTTTTAACTTGCCAGAAAAACCAAGACACTCACATTAAAAATATGCCCACACTTTGTCACGCAGAGAAGTATCAGGGTGCACAGGTGCAACTTCCGGGGGATAAGTCCTTCACTTTTGCCTGTACATTTTAGAATCACATATCTGTCTTCAGGGTTTATTCATTTACATGTCAAACTCATTTCTTCCTAAGTGGTGTTGGCAATTAATAATAGAATCTGACCTCTACGTAGAAAGTCTAAGCCAGGGCCTGTCATCGCTAACGCTTACAAAATAGGGCAAAGTGCCTTGGCCAGAAAAAGAATCTTTTTGAACTATTTACAAAGCTTTAAATAAAGAACCTCCTACATGAAAGATTAAATCCCACACTTGACACCCAAGAGAAGAACAAGAAGTGTGAAATAACACCCGGAAGGTTCCGCTGGCCTGATAGGATCTCTCCCCGCAACCCGGCGGGGTGGGAAGGCGCACCCTAGTCTGAGAGAACAGATGCAAAGTGGCGAAGTACATGCTTCTTTTAAATTAAGAATCTCAAAGAAGTTCTTACTCCTTAAATATATTTTAAATATATTTTTCCTTTAATGCAAAGTTTCCGGAAAAACTGTATCCCTGTCCCAACTGATGGCAAAGCTCTGCATATTCATATAAATGGACTGTTCCAGGGGGAGGGTCCAGAGAGTCCCCTAAACTCTTGGGGGAGGCTGCGCTTATACACGTGTCTCTGTGTGTGTGTGTGTGTGTGTGTGTGCGCGCGCGTGCGCGTGTGTGTGTTGCGTCAGCACCTAGCTTCTCTTCTACTCCCCAAGCACGATGCACGATCTGCTTGACCATGAGGCTGAGCGTGGGTGACCACTGGCCTCAGCTGTAATGTTCTCAGCACAATCTTTCTCGGACAGAGGAGCAGATGGAGTGCTATAGGGTGTGAATGTCGGGTGAAGCTTTCTGGGTTCTCGAGGAGAACCTGTCACGCGGCACTAGGCAAGCCATTTTCAGGAAACGGAAGAAGTCCCAGCATGAGTAGCTTTGACACGCTGCGTGAAGCAGAAGATTAGCCTGGACAGTCTTCAGTCTGCATGCTGGGCTCACTGCGGACCCGAGCGCTCACTTCCCTTGCCCACTCCTTGCCTTGTTTTCCGGGCTTGGCTACTGTAATGGTCCACAGCAGCAGCACACAGCCGTTTCCACACCACCTGGAGCTGTGCGTTGTCTGCTCTCAAGCATTAGCTGAAATACAGAGAAGCAGCAGCACCAGCAAAGTTAGCCAGACAGCAGACACGAAGCGTCTAGGCAGCAGCCGCTTCCAGCGGCACTTACCCTGAGCTTAGAGGACGGAGATGAGAGAGGACCGTGCCCAGGGTCACTGTTAGGTTCAGCTGCCTGGGCCTCCCTGGGGGCGATGATCGTGTGCACTTGGAGGAAGCAGCTGGAATGGCCTGATGCTGCTGTCATTCACCCTGAGACCCACAGTCTTGCATACCTCTGAGGACTCCACTGCCGGAGCTGGGGAGAGGGTTGCGCAGACTTTCTGTAGCAGCTCGGGGGCCACAGAGGGAGAGACCAAGGGCACGTTTGAAAATGAACGCAAAGATGAATCCCTAACCCAAGGGGACTTTTGTCGCCGGTTGAAGCAGCCCTGTACATGTTACAGCTCTAGTCCTTTCCTTTTCTCCTCCTGTCAACTGGTGAGGTCACTTCTTGAACATTTTCAGAGATCTGATGCTAGGATCAAAGCAACACGTCTTATTTCTCGATTTGTACCTACTTCCTCTCACTGTTGCCATGTTAATCTAGTCGTTTTTTCCTTGAGATTTTATAAAGAATATGTAAATGAGTAACCTGCAGCACTATGAATTCTCCTACGCTAAGCTGGTTTCAAAAATATTTTGAAAGCCATTAAGCATATGCTTTAAATCTACAAATAACACATTTTGCTGGGAGCAAACTTACTGCCAGGGAAAAGAGCTGAAGGAAATTTAGAGCTGAGAAAAAGGGGAGGGGATATAAACCCCAAAATAGGGCACAACAGCGCATCTTGCGGGTACCGCTCCTAGATCGCGGTGTGGGGAGGCAGATTAACTGAGGGTGGAGGGCTCCACAGGACTGGGGACGGCAGACAACAGGCCCCTGTCCTACCTGTAGACAAATAATACATGCAGACGAACACGGGCACACGTTCTCAGCGTAGACACGCTCGTATGTGCTCTTAGTTCTCCGTACGTTGTATTTTACACCTGATAGTTCTAGGGTGTTGTTAAAGAACCTGGAGGGAGAAAGAGATGCCGAAACACTAGTAGCCAGCATTTATAGAGCACTTATTATACCCCAGGCTCTTTATGGGGTATTTAAACGAGTGTATCATTGAATCTACAATGACCTTGGAAGGGTCAGTACAGTGGCAACTCCATGGTAAAGGTTAAGAATGTGAGGCCCGAAGAAGCCCAGCGGCTAGGCCAGCGGCGCACAGCTGGTGGGCTATTTCCGCACAGGTACTTGCCACGTTTGCTCTGTGGCAATCCGTGGTGGCCCCCGTTCCCCACACGATGTTCTCATGGCTCAGGAAGGGCAGTGAACGTTACAGGAGCTGGAGGCCCCTGCAGGCCGGCCCTCCCGTGCCCTCACCACCCCAGGTTCACTGGGGTCCCCAGAACGGGGGTCTCCAGACTTCCCTAGCAGAGGCTTTCTACTCCCCCAAGGCTACTGAGAGCAGCGTGAATGCGGGAGGGAGGAGCTTCGCGCCTGCTTCGCCCCCAGCACCTGTGCTTTACCTGCAGTGCCCGGATGCCTGCCCGCGCTGGGAAGCCCTCACGCCCACCAGAGGGGAAGACTGGCCAGGAGGGGTCCAGAGGAGAGGGAATGGCTCTGGCCTTACGGACCCGTGGCTAGTCTTTCCGGGGGTGCGGTTTTCTCATCTGTAAATCAGACGGGGAGGAGCACTAAGGCTGATGAGCTCCGATAAGACCCGCAGTTCCGTACCCTGTGCTGTGGACTCCTCTCGAGCGCTCGCAGGGGCAGCGTCCTCGCTGGCGGGTGCGGCCCACGGGTCTGAGGGGCAGTCAGACTCAAGGTCAGGGTGCGGCGCAGAGGCCCGTCTTCCCACCACGGCGGTACCTCCCTGCAGCAGACGGAGGCTGGGCATCCTTCAGTTCCGAACCAGATCCCTGGCTGAACGTGTGGTGGAGGAGTAAGGCAGAGGTGCACCCACCCTCGGAAATGGAAAAGGGTCGATTTAGGAGAAATGCAAAGAAACAGTAATGTGCATTGCCACAAGTCTGGCATGCTTGTAATGTGAAATATAGACCTGCTAACTTTTTGAAATAAGTTTAAGAAGAGTTTAGAGAAAGGAAAGCGTGATGATTTCCCCTAAAGACACTGAGGCGTGAAGGACCCCCAACGGTGAGAAGCAGCCCTGCTGCGGGCAGCATATGCCCTGGGCCCCATCTGATAGGAAGCCATGGTTGGCAGAGCCTTCCTGACACACATGCCAGTTACAAGAAATTTAACACCTACTTCTGAGAGGTGGCAGCCAATTCTTTCAATTTCATGGAGACTCCAGTGGCGTAAGCAATCCAGGTGTAAATCAGAAACACCATCTGGTTCTTTTATGTTCTAGGTGAAGAAAGCCACTATAGGGTGACTATATTATAAAATATATTTATAAATTAGCTGTGTAGTGATTCACAGATCAGCCTCTGAAGACTTGAGCTTGGTTTGGGGACTAAAATGAGCCGGCACATCATTGAGATAGATAGCGTCTAAATGACTGGCTGGGAATACAGCCGTGATTGACATCCGCGGGGACGGGCATACAGTCATCCTTGACATCCATGGGGACAGGTATACATCATCCTTGACCTCCATGGGGAACGAGTCCCCATGGACACCAAAGTCCAAGGTGCTCAAGTCCCTGAAGGAATATTGCATGACATTTGCATAGAACCTACCCACACTCTCCCATGTACTTAGACCATGTCTACATTATTTATAATGGCTAATACAATATACATGTTATATAAATAGTTGTGCTACTGAGTAGAAGCTACCCTATTATTTAGAGAATAATGACAAGGAAAAAAATCTATGTATGTTCAGTACAAATGCAATTTTTAAAAAAAAAACTACTTTTGATCCACAGTTGGTTGAATGTGTGGGCACAAAGTCTGCAGATATGCAGGGCAGACTGTGCAATCCAAATTAATTCCTTCCTAAGATTTATTTTTTAAATTTTGTGAAAAGAGCCTCAAGGTCAGTTCAATTGTTTAAAAAGAATGGAACCTCTGCTAAATGTTCTGAGTATTCTTAGGATGTTAGAGCTAAAGAACTGTTCGGCTAACCTGGGCATGTCAGGTGAGAACCGGTGATCAAAAGCAGCCCACCTAATGTCACCAGCTTGTTAACAGCAGACCCGGGCTCGCCGCGGCCCTCCTGGAGCCCACTCAGGACTCTGTTCATCCTTCCTCACCTTGTCCTTGAATAACCTGACCGCCGCAGAGAGTGGAGGTGTCAGTAAACGTGCCCCTAGGGGTGAGCTCATCCTCCTCACGATTGCAGCTGAGACCAACAAGATGCGGTGGGGCCGGGGTGACACCCCAGGACGGGCACCCTGTCCTCTGCCCCTTCCTCTGCCACCTTCCCACAGCGCTTGCCCTGCTCCCGGGCTTTAGAAGCAAGGGACGGCAGTGCCACTGCAGCTGACTCTTCGCTCCCTTGTTAGAAAGCCCGTACCACCACCCTGGGATGCCAGCGTAATTACTTACTGTGTTTATTTTCATTTTTTCATAGCTGTCCCAGCTAAATCAGAGTTGGCAGTGGAAATTTTGGAGAAAGGTCAGGTCCGGTTCTGGATGCAGGCAGAGAAGCTCTCTGGCAACGCCAAGGTCAACTACATATTTAATGAGAAGGAAATTTTTGAAGGACCGGTAGGTTGCATACATTTTACATTTTAAATGTATTATTGTAGAGCACACTGAGGATGCCCTATAGGAATATGGATAAATTGTTATGAAAGCTGCTGGCCAGTGGGGTGGGCCAGTTTACACCTTATCACTTTTTTTAAAAAAATTGAAGGGATTTCAGGAGGCTGAGGCAGGAGGATTGTTGCGAGTTCAAGACCAGCCTGTACTACAAAATGAGTTCAAGGCCAGCCCGAACTGCATAGGGAGACCCTGTCTCAAAAAGACAAAAAAAAAAAAAAAAGTGAAGGGAATCCACAGATTGTCTCTATCATTTCATCCAAACTGGAGCACTGTTGAGAATGAAAAGGGAGACTGTTAATAATTTCCTAGGACCGCAGCCAAACCAAACTGCCTCAGGCAAGTTGGGAAGCACGGAGACCACGTGAGAGCTGAGCTAGCTGCTGGAACCCAGCACCTCCCACCCATGAGCTGCGGCATCCCCGGGTGGGCTGGGCGCACTCATCCCAAACGCGAGGTCTTTTGTCCTTAATGAGTTGTTTAAAAGATGCAAGTTACCGGCCTCAGAAACCCAACCCACCTGCTGTGTTACGTGTGTGTGTGGGCCGGGGATGGACCTCTTTATCTGGAGCCTTAGAAAAAGCAGTATCTTCATTGATTGCCTTTTTGGCAACAGATGAAGTACATCCTCACTGTCCAGACTTAGACTCGGGACGAATGGCACGTTCTCACGGCTTTGGGACACGTGACGACGTGAGTTCTGCGGATTTGTTGTTTCTCTGTGTGCTCCCACATGTCAGCGGGCTCACGCGAGCACAGTTTCTGCAGTGCAGGCGCAGCATCTGGCTCCCTTGCCCTCCCAGGGCCGCCAGAGAGCCGGGTGGGCCAGCGCCCCACGGGCTGAGGCGGGGTCAGGCCCCGGGCGCTCCGGGCGCTGCTGGCATAGGAGCAGAACCTGGAGGGGGAGGAGGTGAGGCTGCTCCGCGTTTAGCGGCCCCTGTCTCTACTGCGATGTGTTTGTAGAACACTTGCGGTTCCTCAGTGACGGCGACATTGGCAGCACCCCTTGTGTGCAGTGTGGACCTTTCCCACACACACAGTGACCGCACAGCCAGAGCAGCACTCGCGTGTCCACAGCTGCCCACTCCTCCCCTCGTCCTCCTCAACTGCGTGGCCACCGCCCATCCGGGGGAGGCAGGAAAGGCGTGATTGGCACCACCTTCTGCCACGTAGCCAGAGCGCACACTCAGGCACGTGTGTGCAGACGCGCCCCTCTTCCCGCGCATGCGCACACGCGCACTGATGCTGTCACGCGTGCGCACACGTGCGGTGTCAGGCCGGTTCCCGAGAAGGAGAGCATGAAGAGCTGCTCGCCCACAACCTGGGCGCTGTGCTCGAAGAGGGAAAGAGGGCGCAGGAGGCAGCCGGGGTCAAAGCAAGGCGGACCCGGGCTCCGCCGGAGACGGGCTCCCTGCAGGGCGTCTGGGCCGTGAGAGGCGCACGGAGTTGGGCCGGACCTAAGCCTTCATTGTGTCGTGTATTTTACAGCAACACTTCATCCGTCAACCCGAAAGGATGCAGGAGCCGTTGCACTCGGAAAGAGGGTTGTCTAGACAAAAGAGCCCGCAAGGGCTGTTTCAACTGATTGAGAGCAGAGGGTTTCAAAGACTGTAGCGTGGTTTTAGTCACACGTTACCAGCAGGTGTTTAGGAACCGCCTAGCACACGCCTTGCGTGCGTTTCCATGTGAACGTTTCCACCGAGCTGCCTGCAGTTTCCTGCGATCCTCCTAACTACAGATGATATTACTTGGAAAGGAAAATGGGAATCTAAAACAAATTTTGAGAACATTTTATAACATGAGGTGACAAAGCTTTATTTAGATGTAAGAAATTATATCACAAACTATTCAGGAATCAATTCTGGTCTAGGTCATGTATCCATATATTCCCTTGAAGGGGGTACAAGATTCTAAAGAAATTGTCAAAAATATTATTAAAATGGTTATTCTTTGGAGTTCATTTTATTTCGGCAGGCCCATTGTCACTGGGGTAAGATGTCTGCCTTACCGCTTTTTCTGTCTGTATCTTTTCTCATTAAATGAAGAAATACAAGATGCATATCGATCGAAACACCGGCATAATTGAGATGTTCATGGAGAAGCTGCAGGACGAGGACGAGGGGACGTATACTTTCCAGATTCAGGATGGAAAAGCAACGGGCCACTCCAGCCTTGTGCTCATAGGAGACGGTAAGCGCTCTGAGCAGCGCCGTGAAGGGAGGCTTCCCCGCTCCCCTCTGCGACAGGAAGGAGGTCCGGGAGAGTTGGCAGGAATCGTGTCTTAATCAAATCCCCATGGTCAAAATACAGTTTTTTTTTTTTTAATGTAGGGTGGCCTTCTTTTTCTCCAGTTAATATTTTATTGTCATCGGTCCATGTTTGCAGAACATAATGATTCCCTTCCTTGTTGGGGGCTGGTGCATTGACATAGCGCATCTTCAACTGCCTTCCCTCCCCATTGCCTCTGCCTGTAGGTCTCCTTTTCTTATAGAAAAGCTCTATCTCCCTGTTGCCCTTTAATTATTTCTGCTTGGGTCTCTCATATAAGAGAAGCCACATAATATTCCAGTTTGTGTGTCTGATTTATTTCACTGAATATTATGATCTCGTTTATCCTTCATTATCAAAATATAATTTTTGATTTATACTGTCCATAGTATTTAATTTTATAAAAATGAATATGAATTTAAAAGAACTTGAAATTTATTTCTGGTCCTCAAGCAAGACTGTACCTAATCATATATATAAAAAACACTTATTTCTAAAATCTTCCAATGAAGGAGGTTACAAGACCACCAAGACTGAATGTATCTCAGAAACAAACCATGATACTATTTAATCATGTGTACATACTCTAAATTACTTAACTTGAGAAGAAAAGCCAGGCGTGGTGGCACATGCCTGTAATCCCAGCACTCGGGAGGCTGAGGCAGGAGGATCGTTGCAAGTT